CTTATCCATTTGTGGTATTTATCAAAGTTATATATGCTGATGGATGAACTCTATAGGTCCTCCTTCCTTCTACATGTTTCCATAGTCTGCATATTAGGCATTCTTTATCAGTTTTTTTCCTGTGTGGATAATCAAGTGCAATTATTTTGAGTAATTATGGATCTCATTTAGGAGGTTCTGCACTGTTGCAGGACTTGATGCAGTCAGCCATATACCATACAGAAGCAGCTGAAAGGCTCTGCCATCTATATATGGGGAATCTCTCTTTGACTTGGACTTAGCCGTGGATCTTTTCCATGACAATGGTGAACACCTTTGGTAATAATACATCTCCTAATTTAAGCCTGTCATTTGAAGGGCATCAAACAAGGTTGTCTCCACTCTATCTTCCAAGGAATATTTTGTAATTTTGACTAATTCCTGAGAGATATCTAGTGGAGAGGAAAGCTTTAATACAATGTTTTACTCTACTGAATCAAATAATTTTTTTCCTAATAATGGACAGTAAGCATATTAGGATTTTACATTCGCTATATCTTTCATTCAACCATGTGGTGATGTGGTCTAATGTAGAGTATTTCTTCAAAAACAAGTAAAACTAACAAAATAGTGACGAAATTTAAAAGTATGTGCCACATTCTCCATCTGTAGAACTCCTACCACCTCTCCCTCTCTTTTTTTTTAAATAGCAAGCTATTTTCTCTCTCCCACCTCCCACCACATTGGGGGAAAAAAAAGATAAAAAATCCCTTAGAACAAATAATATTGATTTTATAATATAAATTGTTCTGGGCTTGCTTACTTCACTCTGGATCAGTTCATATAATTCTTTCAGTATCTCTTTGAAATCATCTATTTCCTCTTTTCTTGGAGTACAACTGTATTCCATCACATCCATATACCATAGTTTATTCAGCCATTACTCAATTGATGGGCATCCATTTAGTTTTCAGTTTTTTGCCACCACAAACAGAGCCACTATAAATATTTTGGTGCATATAAGATTCTTTTTTTTTTTTTTTTTGTATGAACCCAACAGCAGTGATGTAGATGGGTCAAAGAATATTCACTGTTAGTAATTTTTTATAAATAATTATAAATTATTTTCCAGAAAGATTGTATCCATTCATAAGCCCACCAATGGTACATCAATTCACCCATTTTCCCACAGCCTTTCCAACATTTGTCATTTTCATTTTTTGTCATCTTTGCCAATCTGATGGGTGTGAGGAGTAATCTCAGAATTACTTTAATTTGCATTTCTCTAATTAGTAGTAATTTGGAACTTTTTTTTTTCACATAGCCATTGGTAGCCTGAGTTTCTTCCCTTGAGAAGTGCTTATTCCTATCCCTCAACCATTTGTGAATAGGGGAACGGTTCCTGTTCTTATCAATTTGAATTCATTATTTGGAAATGAAACCTTTATCAGAAAAACCTGCGCAAAGATTTTTTCCCCAGTTAATTATAACTCTTTTAATCTTAGCTTTTTTTCTATAGGCAGCTAAGTGGTACATTGAATAGTGTTGAACCAAGAGTCAGGAAGAATTGAGTTCAAATTTGGCCTCAGACTCATACTAGCTATTTCACCTCGGGCAAGTTACTTAACCTGTGTTTGCCTCAGTTTCCTCACAATACCTATCTCCCCGGGTTGTTGTGAGAATAAAATGAGGTAATATCTATTAAATGTTTTGCAAACCTTAAAGCATTATATAAATGTTACCCATGATTATTGTTGTTACTAGATTTGCTTTTGCAAAAACTTTAGTTTTACATAGTCAAAATTATCTATTTTATCTTCTGTAATCTTCTCTATCCCTTGCTTGGTCATGAACTTTTCTTCTATCAATAGATCAACTAGTTGATTTTCCCCATATTTCTCTAATTTGTTTATGATGCATTCTTTTTATATTTAGGTCATGTATCTGTTTGGAGTTTATCTTGGTGTAAAGTGTGACATTTTTTCCATGCTGCCCTCCAGTTGTCCTAGCCTTTTTTGTCAAATAATGAGTCCTTATTCCAGTAGATGGAGTGTTTGTATTTAGGGGATATTTGGGTATTAGATACATTTTCTTCTTTCTGTTATATATCGAACCTGTTCCTGTGACTGAGATCTTTGTTTGTCTTAATCAGTATTTATAGTCTTAATGAGTTATTTGCAGTCCTGAAAGATTATGTGGTTCCCACAGTCCACCTCTCTCAGATTCAGGATTTGAACTTGGGTCTTACTGCATCAGAGGCCAGTTTTCTATCCACGAAAGCTCTTAGTTGCCAAATCCAATAGCCTTTTCTCAATCCTCATCCTTCTTCACTTCTCTGCTGTGTTTGGCACTGTTGATCAGCTTCTCCTTGGTACTCTTTTTCCTAGGTTCTCTCCTAGTTTGCCCTCTACCTCACTGTTCCTTCTTTGTCTCCTTAGCTGAATCTTCATTTATATCATGCCTGCTAATAGTGGGGGTTCCCCAGGGCTCTGTCCTGGGCCCTCTTTGTCCTCCCTCTTTACTGTTTCTCTTTGTGAGCTCATCACCTCTCACGTTAACAACAGTCTCACATCTCCAACTGCCTTTTAGAGATTTTAAATTCAACACGTACAAAACTGAATTTGTTTTCTTTACTTCCCAAACCTTCCCCTCTTGCTAACCTCTCTATTACTGTTGAGGGTACCATTATCCTCCCAGTCACCAAGGGTCACAAGCTGAGGGTTATCCCTTGACTTTTTACTTTCCTGTACAGCTGTCTTCTGACAATACAAACATCCTGGTGCAGGCCCTCATCACTTCACACCTGGACTATTGCAATAGCCTGAGAGTTGGTCTCTGCCTCATGTCTCCCTCCATTCCATTCCTTCTTCTATACAGCTATCAAATTGATCTTCTTAAAATGCAAGTCTGACCACATCACCCCCTTATTCAATAAACTCTATTGGCTTCCTATTTTCTCCAGGACCAAATATAAAATCTTTTGTTTAGCATCCAAAGACCTTCATAACCTGGCCTTTTCTAACCATTCCTGTCTTCTTACACCTTACTTCCCTCTGTGTACTCTGTGATCCAGTAACACTGGCCTCCTTGTAAAAGACACTACCATCTACCAACTCTGGGCACTTTCACCAGCTGTTCTCCATGCCTGGTATGCTCTTCTTCCTCATCTCTGCTTCCAAGTTACCCAGTCGTCCATCAGTCTCTACTGAAGTCTCATGTTCTATAAGAAGTATATCCTAAGTCTCCTTAATTTTAATAACTTCCCTTTGAGATTATTCCCAATTTATCCTGAATATATCTTGTTTGTACACAGTTGTTTACATCTTGTCTTCCCTGGCTGACTCTCAGCCACCTGAGAATAAGGACTGTTTTTTGTCTTTTCTTTATATCTCCAGTGCTTAGCACAGAGCTTGGCACATAGTAGACGCTTCATAAAATGCTAGTTGATTGACACTATACCATGCTGCCTCACTACCATCTAAATATCTTTATTAGAGATGCTCTCAGGGCTGATCTGTGTAGACTGATTCCATAAGAGGGTGTGTGTGTGTGTGTGTGTGTGTGTGTGTGTGTGTGTGTGTAAAAATATGTAGTTATTGAGATTCTCTTGTTAGTCTTTTTTTGGGAGTAATAAGGGCTAAAATTGTTTCCATGCCTTTAGTATTTTTCCCTCTTTTGATACCTTGAGAATCACTCAAAACCTTCACAGTTGTGTTGCCTCCAAGATAGCTCCTCTGTCTATATTTGGTCTAATCTATCTGCTTTTTCCATCTTTGTTTTCTTCAGTACTGTTTTTGTTTCCTCTAATAGAATATTCAGAACTATTAGAGCCCACATATGGTAGCTCTACTGGACTTGATGATGAAAAGAATTTGTTATAAAAATCTTTGCTGATCTTTTCCATCCTTCTTCCAGTTCCTTCATTGACTTTGCTTACTTAGATCTCTTACCAAATTCTCTTCAACCTTTTTTTTTCCTCTCTCTCTCTCTTTTCTGAAGGGATAGTGCTCACAAACTTCTACTACCCTTTTCCTTAAGAATTCACAAAGGAACTTATATTCTCATTTAATGTTTCCATCAACTGCCAAATCTCCCTTCGTGAAAGCATGCAAAAGGAGAAAAATAATCTAAAATAGTTATTATGTTCTGTTCCATCAAAGTAAGCATACCAATAGGAAAGGACCAGATTTTTGTGTGTGTATATCTATAAAATTTGTTGGTGCATAAGTTTTATGATAATAAAAAGTCAGTCAACAGATGTCAAGGTAGTATTCTTTTCTATTCAACCAAAAACGATGAATGAAAGAAAGAAGTTAATCTAGTATTTGTGGCAACCTTAATTACTAAATCAGATCAACTATATAGCTGACCTAGCAGACTACAGAATTCTCTGAAGTTCTACCCAAAAGGGAAAAAGTATACAATCAAAAACTATTCATTTGTGGGTTGTATACTAACAATGTGGGTTGTATACTAACAACCCATACTAACAATGGCCTAATCAGAGCCATTTTTTTTCTAAAAACAATTTAACTTGGTAGTTTTAACCCTGAATTCCTAATCTTACTTTGCAACTGTGAGCCTGACTTACTCTATATTTGACTAGAGTCTAGTCAAATAGACCAATAAGGCTTTCATTTGTGACAAGTTGGAGAGACAAGTCCATTAACACATATTAAAACATGTACTTTGTTGGCAAAGCCTTAGAGAACCTAAGGTTACCCTCATGACATGATGAGGCATTGGAGTAAGACTTTAGTGCAAGAAAATAAGCCTGGATCTATTCACTTTCTTCCATAGCCACATCCTGGCAGGCCTCTTTAGCTTCACTCTTACAATTGTTTAATTTTTTTGGTGATGGCAGGTGAAATGCTTAGAGTCATCAATTCCTTATTTTTATCAGTGGGCAAAGATGTTCCATATGACCCAAACCATTAAAAGTGAAATGGTTTATCTAAACTTACTTGTGGTACAATAGATTTAAATAGCTTTTATACTTTCCCTTCCTTTTTCTTTTAGGTATGGCCTCACATGTGCAAGTTTTCTCCCCTCACACCCTTCAATCAAGTGCCTTCTGTAGTGTGAAGAAACTTAAAGTGGAACCAAGTTCCAACTGGGATATGACCGGGTACGGCACACACAGTAAAGTCTACAGCCAGAGCAAAAACATACAGCCCTCACAACCAGCCACCACTACTGTCAGCACCTCTCTGCAAATCCCCAACCCCAGCCTACCTTACGAGCAGACCATCATCTTTCCAGGAAGCACTGGGCACATCGTAGTAACATCTGCAAGTAGCACTTCTGTCTCTGGGCAAGCCCTTGGTGGACCACACAACCTGATGCGTCGAAGCACTGTGAGTCTTCTTGACACCTACCAAAAATGTGGACTCAAGCGTAAGAGTGAGGAGATTGAAAACACAAGCAGCGTGCAGATCATTGAAGAACACCCACCCATGATTCAAAATAATGCAAGTGGGGCCACTGTAGCCACTGCCACCACATCTACTGCCACCTCTAAAAATAGTGGCTCCAACAGCGAAGGCGATTATCAGCTAGTCCAGCATGAGGTTCTCTGCTCCATGACTAACACATATGAGGTCTTAGAGTTCCTTGGTCGAGGGACATTTGGACAAGTGGTCAAGTGCTGGAAACGTGGCACCAACGAAATTGTCGCTATCAAAATCTTGAAGAACCACCCATCTTATGCCCGGCAGGGTCAGATTGAAGTGAGCATCCTGGCCCGGTTGAGTACTGAAAGTGCAGATGACTACAACTTTGTCCGAGCTTATGAGTGCTTCCAACATAAAAACCATACCTGCTTGGTCTTTGAAATGTTAGAACAGAACCTCTATGACTTCCTGAAGCAGAACAAGTTTAGTCCCTTGCCCCTCAAATACATCCGCCCTGTCCTCCAGCAGGTAGCCACAGCCCTGATGAAATTAAAGAGCTTGGGTCTTATCCATGCAGACCTCAAGCCAGAGAACATTATGCTGGTTGATCCATCCAGACAGCCGTATAGGGTTAAGGTCATCGATTTCGGTTCAGCTAGCCATGTGTCAAAGGCTGTGTGTTCTACCTACCTTCAGTCCAGATATTACAGGTAAGAAAAAAATAAGCAGCCAAGGAGTGGTTGTTTACTGAGTGCCTATGATGATCAGATCACAGTGCTGGATGCACTTAAAGTCAGTTTAAGATAAATGTCACATAAGTGCACAGACACCGAGTATTCCAGGGTTTCAGAGGAGGGAGAGATCTCTGTGGATTAGGATGAGTACCGAAGGCTTTACAAAGAAGGCTTGTCTTACATTGGCTCCTCAGAGACAGGTAGGATTAGGAGAGGTAGACAGTGACGGCTGTACTCTAGTTGGAAGCAGTGGAGAAGCAAAAGAGGTGGGAGGTGTATTGAGGAGACGATGAATAGACTGGTTTGATGGTAGAAGGGGGAAGTGTGGGTTGGTGAATAATAGGGAATAAGGGTGGAAAGACAGGGTAGGATCAGATCATGGAGTGTCTGGAATAGGCTAAGTAGTTTTGATTTTATCCCTCTTGGCACTGGAGAACCATTTATAGTTTTGCAGAAGGGGATGACATAATGAAAGTGGTGTATTGGGACAGTAAATCTGGTAGTAATGTACAAAATGGATTAGAGCAGGGATAGCTAGAGTCAGGGATTCCAACTCGGTAGCTAATAATAATAGTTAGTATTTATATAGTACCTGCTATGCATGAGGCACTGTGCTAAGAGCTTGACAAATATTATCTCATCTGATCCTCACAACAATCCTGAGAGGTAGGTGCTACTATTATCCCCATTTTATATATGAGGAAACTGAGGCAAATAGAGATTAAGTACCTTAGCCAGAGGATAATTAAGGTAATAAGTGTTGTTAGTAATCAAGGAGTGAGGTAATGAGAACCTGGACTATAAATGGTGGCTGTAGGAATGGATAAGAAAGAATGTGACAGAGACACTTTTTGAAGAACAAATGAACTGATTAACTGTGGCAAGGAGAGGGAGGGATCAACTAACTCTTAAGGCTTTCATCCTAGATAACTGGGAAAATGGCCATACTATTAACAGAAACAAAATCAGAACAGAGCAGATATTTTTCAAGGAATATTAGTTGAGTCTTTTACATCTGAAGTGTCTAGTAGCCATCTGGTGATACTAGAGCTCAGGTCAAAGGATAATACTCGAATTATAAATTTCCATATAAAGATAAGATTTGAAAATATAAGAATGAATACGTTCTTTAGTGGAGAAAATAAAGAGAAAAACATTGAGAGAAACCTGTAAAAGAAAGAGAAGGAATGGTCAAAAAGTTAGGAGGACTAAGATAATGTTATATCACAGGAAGACAAAGAAAGAGAGATGGGAGTGTCACATGTGAAGAACAGCAATGAGGCCAGTGGGACTGGATCACAGCTTATAGAGGGTAGAGAGTATAAGGCAGAAGAAGGAGCCAAGTTATAAAAGGCTTTGAATGCCAAACAGAGAATTTTATGTTTGATCCTGGAGGTGATAAGAAGCCACTGGACGCATGGTCAGAACAGCATTTTCAGAAACTCACTTTGATAGCTGAGTGGACAAAAGATCGGTGCGTACAGGGGGACTAACCAGCAGCCTAGTTTGATAGTCCAGGTGTGAGATAGTGAGGGCCTGCATCCAGGGTGGTACCAACATCAAAAAAGTGAAAGGGGAACATGGAAGAGATATTACAGAGGTAATATCAACAGACTATGGCAATATATTGGCTATGCAGTGGGGTAGGGTGGTGAGAGAAAGTGGGAAATCGAGGACGACTCCTAGGGTCTAAATCTAGGTGACTAGGAGGATGGTGGTACCCTCAAAAATGATAGAGAAGTTAGGAAAAAGGGAGGGTTTGACATGCAAGATAATGAGTTCAGTTTGGGGCATGTTGAGGTAAAGATGTCTACTGAACATCTAATTCAAGATGTCCAGTAGGCAGTTGGAGTTTCTGTGTATTTCAGATGAAGAGGAGTAGAATGATGGCAGTTTCTCAGTGTTCTGGCAGGGACATGAAGGCCTAGAAAGAGGCCAGTTTCCCTTTGCATGTTGGTTTGGAGTTGATGAGAATCAGTGAGGCTACAATGGGAAGAGTGTAATGAAGAAATGTATCGTTTAGAGGAAGCCAGGTTTCCATTAACAGGGAAATGAGAAAGGAAACAAGTGACAAATACATGGAAGGATAAAGAGGAATTTCCCTGCAGTAGAAAGGGGTCTCCACAGGACTCAGTAAAAGGAGTGAGGGAAGAGACAGACCAGAGCAAGGGTGATGCTACGTTATGTTGGAATAGCATTTGGAAGGAGATAACATTGTGGCAAGAGGAGTGCTGGGAGCAGTAGGAAGGGAGAGCACAGGATGACTTAGGATAACCAGAAAGTAGAGTCACTACAGTACAAACAGATGGCTTCCATTTTGAAGGTGGCGGACGTTTTTTTTTTGGGGTGAGGCAGTTGGGGTTAAGTGACTTGCCCAGGGTCACACAGCTAGTCAGTATCATGTGTCTAAGGTCCTATTTGAACTCAGGTCCTCCTGACTCCAGGGGCAGTGCTCTATCCACTGCACCATCTAGCTGCCCTTATGGTTGACACTTTTTTGAAAAGATGTATTATGTATTATTAAAAATGGTTAACACCTTTAAGAGTGTGAAAGCCTGAAGCTCACTTTCACTACAAGTAGATTGTTAATGTTATTGTTTTACATTTAGATTGTAAATTCAGCACTCAAAAAGCTATTAGTTCCTCTTGATTGTCTTGCTTGTAATCAGAGTCACTGCCAGAAGGTGAACAGTAATGCCTTGGTTATAACCATTTTTGTTTGTACAGTCAAGCTTCAGTCATATAGGTATTATTAACTGAAAAAGAAATGATCTTTTCGACTCAGTTATCCTTTAAAATAAAATGAAAATCATTTCCTTTAAAAAAGTTGCAGCAAAAATAAAGAACACTATATTTAAAGGATGATACACATTTAGAAAAAAATTTAAAGACACGAATACCTAAATATAATTTGGTACCTTAAATCTACTTGATCATGGCTTGATGCCTTATTTGCACCAGGAATTAAAGTCCAGGTTTCCATAGTTTCTTTCATAGTGATGTTTATAACAGTTTCAGAGCCTCCCTCTTAGTATAGGCAGAATGGTGGTGTTGGGAGGTGAGCAGAGCTAAGATAGTGAGGACCCAGACTGACTCTCTCCATGAATAAAGGAAGAGATGAGACATGGGAGGGGTTTGAGGAATAGAGAGAAGACAAATTCATTTTTTTCTTTGACATATTCTTTTTTAAGACCTTCTAGTTTTTCTCTCTGACAGTGATCTCTAAACTTTTTTGGTCATGCACCTGATTAGTTAAAAAAAAAAAAACAACTTTATGTCTTCATTCCCAGTATACATTTTTTTTTTACTTATTTACTTATTTGTAAAATATTTAGTACCATTACACTAGAAATTATGTACATTACAAAACTTACACAAAAAAATTAAAAAGGAAATAAGGCAAATGAGGTAAATATATGATCCTAGAGTCAACAGGGAGACACTGGAGTTTACTGAGTAGGGAAGGGATGTGGTTGACATATGATTCAGAAGAGTCCCTTCAGCAGCTATGTGGAAAATGGATTGAAATGGTGAGAGGCTTGAAGTAGGAAGATCAAACAGGAGACTATTGCAGTAATCCAGGTAAGAAGTGGCCCTGTATTCTCACCCACTGATTGACTGAATACTCTCCTTTTTGGGGTCAAGCCAGAGTCCCCATTTTGGAGACTACTATTATTTGCTGCAAGAAACAGAGAAAGAATATTACACTCAATTAATCAAACATTTACTAAGTGCTTTCTATGCATTGGTTATATGAAGATGAAAAATAAATCTCTATCCTTAAAGAATGTAAAAATCTAATCCATTCCAAATTCGAACTTAATACTTACTTAAAGCTTGTCATGGTGTGGGTTGAAAGCTGCATACCTCTGTACCCATTCCCCTAGTAGATGGATTATAGTTTTTATATCAACAGTATGAAACCCTATAAAACAGGCTCTTAGAGATGAAAATAAACATATTCTTATCTAGTCCTGTGAAACATATTCTTCATGAATCATCATGCAGTGGCCTAAAAAACACTTTATTTTTGGTGACGTAAAAGTGCCGTCCATGGATTAGCCACTAGGATGGCGGCAGCACATGTGACAGCCTGGTTTTTAGACTTCTCTAAAGTAGGAGGTGCTTTCTCTTTTTCTATAAAGTAGGAGGTCATCTCTTTTTCTTGCTTGATCTCACTTTGGATTTACTAGTATTTTAACTGGTGGGGAGAAAAAGTGTTATCTGATGTTTCATTACCTCATTATACTTTTAGATTGTTGAGCCTTACAGTTGATTGAGGGAGCAAAGAAGGAGGGGAAAAAAAGGATGGGAGTTGGTGGCGGGGGGGGAGTGTCTGCCACGTGCCATGGGATGACCTTGCAAGTTTAACATACTACAGTGGGGCCTGCTCATCACTTTGGGTTAGTATCTCAGAGATCTCTTTTTGTGTTATCTTCCCAGAGTTAAAATGCCCTTCCAAACTACTTGTCATTTTCCAATAAGTCATCATTCCTTGAGAGCTTGGGTTCGGCCTCACAGCTTAGGAATGCCAGGGGAGCAGAGACAAAGAAGTTTTTAACCAAAAGGGCATTATCATAATATGGTGCAATAGAATATGTATTCTTATATGTATATGTACATATATATGTGTAACACTTTTTAATATGGGAATTTCCTTCAATTTGAATCATCTCATACAAAAGGCATACAGGATTTTGTTTATGCAGTTACTTCCAGGGAGTCCTTTACCTATTTTAGCAGTTTTAGGAAGAACAGCTTCAGCCAAACAGGAGTTATGGGTTCTTGTTCAGTACTTCATATATTGAGGTATCTTGCATTTGTGAGGAATGCCCCTGCAGACATAAGGCAAGGAACCAGGGAAGGCACCCATTATACCCCACCAATGCAGATCCTCTTTATGACATCTCCAACAAGTGACCAGCCTCTGATTAAATATCTCCATTGATAGGGAAAAATAATTACTCCAAATAGCA